TTCTAAGCCTGGGTGTTTTCTCTGAGATGCAGAAAATGTCTATTCCGCAGGGCTGTGGTAAGGGTAGGTATCATGGTCGGAAAGCCTATAGCCCAGTGACTAGCAAGTAGGTAGCATGGTTACTTGCTGCCAGCCCCTGAAGCCTTCTACTTTGTATTTCTGTGAAAGGAGTCTGAGTATCAGCCAGGAAGGATGGAAAAGGGTCCTGGATTCCTCTTCCAGGAATAGAGCAGGTTAGTGGGACAGGGCTGATAGAAGTCAACTCAGAGCTGTGTGCATGTAGGGAGGTGGGGGTGGTAGATCAAACAGCTTTTTGAGGTTAATTAGTTGAACAAGGATAATTCAGCAAGGGCAGGAAAGTTGTGTTCGTGGCAGTGTGGGGTTGAAGAGACTTGCAGGCTTGTGGCAAGATTAGATTAAAGTGAAGCCTTTAGGCTAGCAGCTAACATCTTTGCCTTGTATGTGCTGGGATCTCATGTGAGCGCCTGTTCTAATCCCAGCAGCCCTGCTTCCCATCCAGCTCCCTGCTTGTGGCCTGGGAAAGCAGTTGAGGACGGCCTTTAGCCTTGGGACCCTGCTCCACCAGACCCAGAAGAGGCTCTGGGCTACTGGCTTCAGATTGACTCAGCTCCAGCTGTTGCAGCTGCTTGAGGAGTGAATCATTAGATGGAATATCTTCCTCTCTGTTTTTCTTTTTTCTTTTTTGCATATCTAACTTTCCAATACAAATGAATGAATCTTTAAAAACGAATGAATGGATGAATGAATAAATAAGGCAGCAAGGAAGCACTCTGAATATTTAACCTCATGGTCAAGACTGGACTGTATTTAAGGTCTGATTTGGCCACTTACTGGTCCTATATGCTTACACCACTCACTTCATCCCTCTGAACTTAATTGCTTAACATATAAAATGGCATGAAAGCTATCTATTTTGTAGAGCCATGAGGTGATGCATACGGCATGTTAGAGAACAGCATCAGTCACATATTCAATCGTTGATAAATTTATTAATTTTAAGCCAGTCAGGAGTAACAGAATCGGACTTAGGCAGCCCAGGTTGAATTGTTTCTGGGGTCACGTGATGACATCTGTCATTGGTTATCTTCAAAGAATCAATCATGAGATGCATTATTTATAGGTGTTTTAATACCTCCTGAGGTGTTTATTAAAACCAAGCAAGCAAATAAAAAGGTATGTTCATTTTCCCCAATTCTGAGAAACAAACAGATGAAAGGAGACTTAGGCTAGTTGCCTCTTGTAACTTTTGTCATTGAACGCTAAGTTGTAGGCTAGTCTTAGGTCTAGTTAATGGCTGTTGGTTAATTATACTGCAAGTTTTTTTTTTTCTTTTCTATCTGTCTTCTCAGCTAATCAATTGTTTCAGCAACATTTTCCACTTGTAGAACAAAGAGGGAGACTGGTATGCAGCAAATATAAATTGATGAGGCATGGATAGAATTAATTTTAGTGAGAAAAGAAGTCTTACAGAGGACCAGAATCCACTCACTTTAGAAACCTGTAAAAATTTTGTTATGCCTTTCACATGTCATATGCTTTCATCTATCGAGCATTTGTGAACTGTTAGGTTAGGATCCATGAACATCAAGGTTTTAAGATCTATATTTCAGCACTTTGATGTGGTGTAGAGAAGTCTTTTTACGTTCTCCCTGATGTTACAGTTAGCTAACCATAGTACAGATGCCTTGTAAGTTGTGCCATGCAGTAATGAAACCACCATAAAGAAAGGCTTATCCCATTCTATAGATGAAGATAATGAAAAATTAGAAAAGTGCTCAAAGTGATATGCTGGTAAGTGGGAGAGCCTGAATTTGAACATTATTTTTTTTTAAAAAGTATTTATTTATTCCCCAAATAGCTACAACAGCTGGGGCAGGGCCAGGCCAAAGCCAGGAGCTTCATCCACATCTGCCACATGGATGGCACAGGCCCAAACACCTGGGCCATCTTCTGCTTTCCTAGCTGAACCATTGTGGAACTGGATCAGAAGTAGAGCAATCAGAATTCAAAAACAGGTGTCCATATGGGATGCCAGGGTGGCAGGCAGTGGCTTAACTTGCCTCATCCCAGTGCTGGCCTCTGGATATCAGATTTTGATTTCAAAGAGCAAGGACACAAGCTGGTGCCCATATGGGATGCAAGTGGTGGCTGTACCTTGCTAGACCACAGCACTGACTGCATCAAAGTTTGTGTTTCTAAGAACTGCTGCACCAAATGTCTCTTTAGAACAGGATCAGTCAGAGAACTACAAGGCCTATCTTCTGTAATGTGGCCCTTTATTGCCTGCCACTATCTTTGTTCCTGCCTTTACTGCCCAATTTAACTCAACAGAATCATAGGTGTAAAAACTTAACTTGATCATACGGTTAGTTAGTAGTTGCTCAGCCAATCATAAGAATTTCCTGGAACATTTGTTCTTTTATTTTTTTCTTATGTTTATTTACTTGAAAGAGTTAGAGCTTCCATCCGCTGGTTCACTCCCCCGCTGGCTGTAGCAGCCAGAGCTGAGCCAGCCAAAGTCAGCAGGAGCTTCATCCAGGCCTCCTACATGGGATATCAGGGGCTACATTCTAGTATTTTTCCTAGGACATTAACAGGGAGCTGGATGGGAAGTGGAGCAGCTAAGTCATGGACTGATGCCCATTGGAGGTGCTGATGTGTCAGGAGGCAGCTTTACACACAATGCTACACGACTAACCCTGGGATGTTTAGCTTTTGTTTTGTGTGTAGATGGTTTGATCTGTGACTCAGGAACATTTTAACCAGGTCTGCATGTGATTTTGACTAGTGTGAGAACTACTTATATTTAGATACACCCAACACCCTTCCAGTTTTTCTGATGTTTAGTCATCAATATGTTTTTGTGACAGGAACTCAGTACCGCCTAGTCAAAAAATTATATAATTAGTAGTTAGATGGACTAGTATACTTACATAGGAATTTCCATTTACTGTCCTGTATGGAGTGGATCAACTTCTTTGAACAGATTTTCACAAGAAGATTTATTTGTTTGAAAGGCAAAGCTATCGAGTGGGAAAGGAGCAGAGAGATCTCCATCCCCTGGTTTACTCCCCAAATGTCCCTAACACCCAGGCCCAGGCAAGGTGGAAGCCAGGAGCTTCTTTCAGGTCTTCCACATATCTGCAGGGGCCCAAGCACTTGAAATACTTGCTGCTTCATTTACTTAGCCATTAACAGGAAGCTGAATTAGAAGTAAGTGCAGCAGCTAAAGACTCAAAGTAGTACCCATGTGGGATGCTGGCATTGCAAGTGTCAGGCTTAACCCACCATGCCACAATACCAGCCCCAAGACAGATTTTTATACTTCTTGGGTATTGACATTAAAACCTGACTTGGGTTTTAAAGTGTCTTTCCCATTTGTAAAATGTGTTAGTTGTTACCTCACTTGAAAGACTATATCATGGACTAAATGAAAAAAAATAGATAAATTCTGCTTGCTGGAATGAGTCATTTCTTAATATTTCTCTTACCTTGTCAGTTTGTTCTCAAATAGTCCCATGTCATTAGTATGTTTTGTTACTTCTGGCTTTTTCTTTGGCACAAAGAATATGATACTTGTTATAAGAAGAGATAAGCCCGAATTTCTGGAAGTTAACTTTTACTCTGTAAGTAATTAGTTTCCACTGATAATATAAACCCAAAAACAAACCAAATGATCCATGAGAATACCTTAAAGGTGAAAGAAGAAACCGTTTGGATTATATAGAGACCAAAATAAAAAACCAAAGGGAAAACTCCACAAGTCTCTTTCTTGTCTAAGGGTAGAACATGTCAGTCATGAATATTGTCCATAGGAGAGGATCAGTGGTCAAGTGCATGGCTGATAAACTGCTCAAGACCCAGAAAATTATCTCTCATTACTGTCATTTGATTGGCTTGGCTGTTGGCATAGTTCTGACTTGTTTTTTGTAAACAAAGCAGGTTGGATTTGTGCTCAATCAGGCCATGGACTGCACTTCTCTAGGTTGTCACTCCAAAGAGTTTGTAGGTTATGGTCTCTTGTGAATTGAGTAAATGTAGTAGAATAATGTTTGTGGGCTTTTTTTTCTCTCAATTTATATTAGCTGTCTGTTTTCTAAGTGTTTTTGAATCTAACATCATGAAAATACTAATTAGGGTTAAACTTTTTATGTGAGTGCTTTTCCAAAGGTAATTTGAACACTTTAGATCCATTTTTGTTTTTGATAAGTGTGTATAATATGTGGAACCTACTGGTCATAACTATTAAAGTTAATATATTACATTAAATCACATGGAAATTTTGATTATTTTTTAATTTTTTTTTGAAAAATTATGTTTGTAGATTGGAGTCTTCATTTTTGTCTGGGGACACGAAAATTGCTCATTCGACAACGTAGGCTGGGAGTGGATGAGAGAGGACACAGTTAATGCACTTGACTCTTTAACAAAAAAATTTATGTATTATTTGCAAAGCTGGGAAACAGAGGAGGGTTCATTTCCCTAATGCACAGGATGGCCAGGGCTAGGAGCTGGGACTCCATCACGGTTTTCAGAAACTCAGTGGCTTGAGCTGTCACTGTGTGCCCTCCAGGGTCTGCATTAGCAGGAAGCTGGAGCCAGGCTCCAGAGGTGGACACCAAATTTGCTCCCACTAGTGCAGTTGTGGGTGACTTAATGCACATCTTAACTGCTAGACCAAATGACTCCTTGGTTTGAATGTACATTTTTAAATTCTTTCGTTAGCAACTTGTTCTGACGTGGTGAGGCATATTCATTCTACAACATTAGGGGGGAAAGATATGATTTAATTATTTAGAAAACTTATGTTCCTAAGTCAGTACTCTTAATGGAAAAAAAAGGACTCTGTTACTAGAAATGTCTGTCTGTAACTTTGGCTTTCTTTCGTGTTAGCCTGTCCACAGCATGAAGCAAATGATACAGTGTTAACCTTTTTAAAGTAATTTATGTTTTATCTCATTCTGTGTTTTTATTTTTAGGACCGGAGTAGGCCCTATGACACTTTTAACTTGCACTCCTTGGAGAACTCCTTAATGGATATGATAAGGACTGATCATGAGCCTCTGAAAGGTAAACACTACCCTCCCAGTGGCCCACCAATGAGTTTCGCTGATATAATGTGGAGGAATCATTTTGCAGGTTAGGAATATTCATATGTCCATTCCTTGCTTGGTGTTTTAAGCAAAAATCAGCTTCTTAATAATTGTGATTTTTTTGTTTATATGTATGTTTTGTTCGTTTGTTTTTATTTTGCTTCTGTAAAGCACTGTGGAATGTTTTTAAAGTTGATTTAAAAAAATTGTGTTTGTCTACCTATAATCAAGATTGAGTTTTTATAGAAGCATGTGTTGGATAGTTGAAGCCAATGTTATAGCATGAGGCCAGAAGCAAAATTTTGTGGACTTTGTATATTTGAAATCCTTAGCTGAATATTAATTACTTAATGTTCAGGTATACTGCAAGGAAGTATGAGATTTAATAATCCAATCTCCAAAGACTACAGAAAACTTCATATAGAAGCCACTTTAAAATAGGAGGTATCGGGCCTGGCACAGTATCTTAGTGGCAGGGGTCCTTGCCTTGCTTGCGCCAGGATCCCGTATGGATTCCAATCCCAGTAGCACTTCCCATCCAGCTCCCTGCTTGTGGTCTGGGAAAGCAGTCAAGGACAGCCCAAAGCCTTGGGACTGTACAGCCAAGTGGGAGACCTGGAGGATGTTTCCTGGCTCCTGCCTTCAGATCGGCTCAGCACCAGCTGTTGCGGTCACTTGGGGAGTGAATCAGCGGACGGAAGATCTTCCTCTCTGTCTCTCCTCCTCTCTCTATATCTGACTTTGCAATAAAAATAATAAATCTTTTTTTAAAAAGATTAAGTACATAGTACCTATTTCATTTTGGATGTGAGAACGATGTTAAATTTTTGCAAGACTGTTTTGTGTTTTTTGTATCTTCTAAGTCTGTGTCTTTCTTCTCTGCTCTAAATAGCTATAGAACTCTCCAAGCAATTCTAAAATATTTGGCTTCATTTCTTTATGCATATCTATTTTATCTTGGTTTATTCTTTTCTTCTGGGGAAAAAAATTGTCAAAGAATGTTAGAATCTATATAGTAGCTTGCAGAGTTTTGTGAATATTGCCTAAGCAGGAACTGTTGTACCCTGTTGAAAGTAGCACTGGTGCAGGTTAAGAGGGCTACCTCCTCATGGGAACATGTAAATGCCGTATTCCAGTTCTCACGGCATTTTTAAATTGGATTTCCAACCACCTTCATATTTATTATACTTGCAGATGTATAGGCTTCATCTGTAAAAGCCTGCTGCACTGTACTTACGTTATTTCCTGATAAGTTGGCAGGCAGCATTACTCAACCTTAATATGCTTGCAACTTCCCAATTTATCATATCATTGTCGTTGGTGTCTGGGGAATCGACTGCTTCCCCTTGGTCAGTGACATTGCTGTGTCATTGTCCTTCGGTGAGGGAGCTTGAGCCTCTTCTTTCCTTTTCCATTCGGGAGACTTTTCAGTTTGGTTTTTGGCACTGTGTGTCTGATTGTTACTGTAGCATAATTACGCTGCTTGTTTTTTTCAGAAAAAGGATTTTAAGTAATTTTTCAGTTTAGAAAGTAGAGAAAATTATAGGAATAAAAAGATAACTAAAAGTATCATAATGGTCTAGTCTCAATTTTTACATTTCCCATATGATAAACACTGTCTGTATTTGTCTTTGGTCTTTATAATTTATTGGCAGTTTTAACTTTGGATGCTCGGATTGTTTTCAGGATTTCCTCTCTATAGGAAGGGCTGCTGTGTATGAGTTCTTGTACATAGTTGTAACTTAAGGTAAACTCCTGATTCGGACTTTGGGCCGAAAGACATAGCATTTGAATAGATCAAGCTTTTTAAGAAATAAAAAAAAAAAAAGGATGGTGGAGGGCCCTACCATGCAGCTTCTGTGTGGGTCATTACAGAAATACTTCTATTCCATCCTGTTTTCCCTGATCTCTTCAATATCATATTTTTACAACACGATCATGTGAAAAATCTTTTCTTATGTACAAGAGTACATAGTCTTTTGTTTTTGTTCATTTTTTTAATCCCTTAAATATCTTTCTTTAAATAATATCCTGGCTCATAATAGCCAAACAATACATAAAAGAACAAAAAGTTTTTTAAAAAAAATCACCTGGGGCCCGGCGCGGTGGCGCAAGTGGTTAAGTCCTCGCCTTGCAACCCCGGGATCCCATATGGGCGCCGGTTCTAATCCCGGCAGCCCCGCTTCCCTTCCAGCTCCCTGCTTGTGGCCTGGGAAAGCAGTGGAGGACGGCCCAAAGCTTTGGGAACCTGCACCCGTGCGGGAGACCCGGAAGAGGCTCCTGGCTTCGGATCGGCATAGTATCGGCCCGTTGCGCTCACTTGGGGAGTGAATCATCGGACGGAAGATCTTCCTCTCTCTCTCTCCTCTCTCTGTACATCCGCCTTTCCAATGAAAAAAAAATAATAATAAAAAAAAATCACCTGATATTCAACTACTTATTGACAACAAAGATGATTTTTGTTTTTTTTAAATTATTTTATTTTTATTGGAAAGGTAGATCAGATTTGCAGAGGAAATGAAAGACAAAGATCTTTCATACCCTGGTTCACTCCTCAAATAGCTGCAATGGCCAAAGCTGAGCTGATCTGAAGCCAGGAGCTTCTTCCAGGTCTCCCATGCAGCTACAGGGTCTCAAGGCTTCGGGCCATGCTCTACTGCTTTCCCAGGTCACAAGCAGGGAGCTGGATGGGAAGTGGAGTATCAGAGCATGAACCAGCACCCACATGGGATCCCAGCACTTACAAGGTGAGGATTTAGCCATTAAGCCATTGTGCTTAAGCAAAGATGATTTTTAAAAAAATTATTTTTATTTGAAAGGCAGAGTTCCAGAGAGAAGGATAGACATAGAGTGAGATCTATCTGGTTCATTCCCTAAATGGGCACAATGACTGAAACTGAGCTGATTGAAGCCATGAGCCAGGAGCTTCTTTGGGGTCTTCCATGTAGTTGCAGGAACTGACAACTTGAGCCATCCTCCATTGCTTTCTCAGCCTGTAAGCAGGGAGGTGGAGCAGAAGTGGAGCAGCTGACTCAAATTGGCACCCGTATGAAATGCCAGTGCTAGCTAGGGCAGGATTAGCCGATTAAGCCACAGTGTCAGCTCCGACAAAGATGATTTTTTAAATTGACATTTCATATTATTTTGTATTCCTCTATATAGGAGAGATACTGATTTCACAGTCATCATTAAACTCAACTTTTATGATTTTGTAGTATTCACACTGGAATTTGTATTCTGATTCTGTCATTCGTTGGCTATTGATCTTGATAAGTTAACCTCTTCAAAGCTTCAGTCCCATTAGTAAAATTAAAGACTCATAGAATGAGTATGAAGATCTAATGAAGGTCATGACACTACAAATTGCTCAGATGTTTTCTACTGTTTTTTTATTTTGAACATCAGAATTAAAAGGGCCCATCATACTAGGCTGAACTTGCACTTACAACACTGCCAACCTATATAGGCATCAGTTTGCGTTCTGTCTGCTCTACTTCCCATCGTGCTCCATGCTTATGACCTCAGAAGGCAGCAGAGGACAGCCCAAGTTCTCGGGCCCCTGAGCCCACACAAAAGACCTGAGAGAAGTTCTTGGCTCCTAGCTTCAGACCAAATTAGCTTCAAAACTGTTACAACTGTTTGGGAAGTGAACCAGCAGATGGAAAATTCTCTCTCTTTTTCTCTCTCTGTCTCTCCTCTCTGAAACTGCCTTTCAAATAAAAATAAAGCGAATCTTAGGAAAAAAAAAGTTACACAGATAGGGAGACACATAGAGCTATCTTCCATCCTCTGGCTCAGCCCTACAAGTGGCTGCAAAGATCAAGGCTTGGCCAGGCAGAAGCCAGGAACCAGGATATCCCACATGGCTAGCTGGGGACCAAACACTTAGGCCACATTTTGCTGCTTTTATCATGCCGTTTGTACGGAGCTGGATTAAAAATATAGCAGTCAGGACCCAAATTGGCACCTGGCTTCAGTAGTGGTACCTTTTCCAAGTATGCCACAGCGCTGACCTCTTTTTCTGCTGTTGCTTTGCTATTAGTTGAATGCCTGTAGCCCGGCCCAGTAATTAGGTGCATGCTCATATCCATACAATGGTTAACTTTCTTCCAACTAGACTGCAGCTAGATGTTGAAAGCTTTCTGAAGCAAGTTGTTAAAAAATTTTGTGTTTTCCATAAGTAAGTAGTGAGTATTGAAAGACGAATATCCTCTCATTAAAAAAAAAAAAAAGGAAAAATCACCTGAGGAGTGGGTGTTTGGTGGAGTGGTAAGGATGCTGCATGGAGCTCGTGCATCCCACATGGGAGTGCTTGGGTTTCAGTTCTCCTCCGCCTCTGATTTCAGCTTCGTGTTAGCATGTGTTCTGGGAGACAGCAGATGATGGTTCCAGTGCTTGGGTCCCTGCCACCCATGTGGGAGACGAGGATTATGTACTAGTCTCCTGTTCTTGGCCTGAACGTGATTCTGGCCTTTGTGGATTTGGAGAGTTCACCAACAGAGAAAGATCTTTCTCTTTGTGTGTCTTTAAATCCACTGAAAGACAAAAGCAAACTATTATACCTAAACTATGTTGACTTTCCAAAATTGTGTAGCTGAATAATATAAATGTAACAAAAATTGGATGTCCTGCTAATGAAGAACAAAGTGAACATGGTTAACATATATTTACAGTAATATTCTTAGAAGTGTATCCAGTAAAAAATATTTGAATCTAAACAAATGTGTAAGATAACCATGTAGAATTTAAGGAAATTATGACACTTAGTTTTCCTAAAGCTCTGATGATTTTCAGTCATTTTTGAACTTATCCTAGAGTAGTATAAAAAATACTGAATTTTGAAGCATTCCCTAGGATCTTTCAAATAGCCTGGTGGTTAAATCCTCACCTTGTATGTGTGGGATCTCATATGGGTGCCTGTTTGTGTCCCGGCTGCTCCACTTCTTGTCCAGCTGTCTCTGCTTGTGGCCTGGGAGGGCAGTGGAGGATGGCCCAAAGCCTTTGGACTGTACACCCACATGAAAGACCTGGAAGAAGTTTCTGGCT